CTTTGCTAATCTACTTTAAAAAGTGGTATATGTGAAAACATACATATATACATACTTATAAAAATGAATTGGTTTTCTCTGTAGCCCTGGCTGTCCTAGAACTCGATCTGTGTAGACCAGGATGGCCTTGCACTCAGAGATCTTTCTACCTGTCTCTGCCTCCCTAGTCCTGGGATTAAAGCTATGTGCCACCACTGCCTGGCTAATTTCCCAATTTTCTAATAATCTTTGCACGGGGATCGTTAAAAGATGTCTTTATTTATACCCCCTTCCTTACTAATATGATATTTATTGTCTTCTCTTTGTCAGACTTTGAGCCAGCTACTTTCCCCAGACTTTCAGGGGAGTGGGTACAGTGTACAGGAAAAAAAGAACTTACAGGATAGGTGAGACACAGAAGAGCCATGGGAGGTGGAAGTAGAGACAACTGCTTCTCCTGGTTAAGAGGATGGCCAAGGCTAACATTAGGCAAAGGACCAAAGCAGGAGAGCTGTTCCTAGGGCAGAGAAGAAGAGCTTCTTATTTTTTGAGAGCCTCACTTTGTAACTCTGACTGACTTGGAACTTGTTCTATAGGCTAGGCTGGCCTCAGAGTCATGGAGAACCACCTTACTCTGCTGTCATACTGCTGCGATTAAAGAAGTGCACCTCACACCTGGCCCTTAGTTTAATGTGTCTGTCTCTGTGTGTCATATACATTGAGTGCAGGTACTTTTGGGAGGCTACAGGTATTGGATACTTTTGGAACTGGAGTTACAGGCAGTTGTGAGTGAGACCAAACTCAAGTTCTCTGAAAGAGCAGCATGTGCTCTTAACCCCTGTGCCCTCTCCTCAGCTCTTTTCTACTCGGATTTAAAACCTGGTTCCTAGAAACTTACTATATTCTGTAAGTTGTTATATGTATATAGTAAATAAAAGGGACTCAGTGTAAAAAAGTCTGGCAAATGCTGAATTTTTCTTTTTAGGTTGGTTTTCTGTGTTTGTCTTGTTTTACTGTAAGTGACAAGATGAGTATCCCTGTACATACACGTTTCTATGCTCTGTACTCTGTAATGTAACTTAAGGTCTGTAGAACTGTGTCAGAGGGCTTGAATATCTTTTTCTTTTTGTCCCCACCTCACCTTGTTTAAAATTGAGAGGCTCTCACCGTGTAGTTCTGGCTGGCTTGTAATTTTCTATGTAGACCAGGTTGGCCTTGAGCTCTCGGAGATCAGCTTGCCTCTGCCTCCTGAGTGCTGGGATTAGGATATGCACATTAAAAATTAGAAACCTTAGGGCTGGAGAGATGTTTAGCACTTGCTGCTTTGTTAGGTTAGCACTCACATAGTCATTCACAGCTGTCTGTATCATCAGTTCCAGGACATTCAGTGCCTTTGTCCTGCCTCATCAGGCACAAGGCACACATAGTGCGTACATGTACCTGCAGGTGAAAACTCTCATACACATGAACTAAAAATAAAAATGAAATATTTACAGTACAAACCTGTATTTATGTTTTCATATTATTTTGAATTTCAGGTCATATTTCACTTATTTTATTTTTATCTTATGTAAATTATGGATCAAGGGCATATTTCCATTTTGTATGTATTTCTAACCCTAACCCTAACCCTGAACATGTGGTTGTTGTTTCCCTTTTAGTAAGTAGACTAGACCTTTAGAATGTATTTGCACTGTATTTCATTGTGAGTGGCCAACTCAGGTTACTTCATCTTTTTGTTGTTGTTGTTTGTTTTTTCGAGTCAGGGTTTCTCTGTGTAGTTCTGGCTGTCCTGGAACTCACTCTGTAGACCAGGCTGGCCTCGAACTCAGAAATCCGCCTGCCTCTGCCTCCCAAGTGATGGGATCAAAGGTGTGCGCTACCACTGCCTGGCAGGTTACTTCGTCTTAAGTAAGAGGTCTGGACCACCAAGTGTAACTCTTGACCTTCGTGGTGAGTCCTTGTTGGCACTTTTGAGGGCTTCTTTTCCCATTCAAGTCAAGCCACTTGATGAGAGGAAAGAAAGCAAGCAGTTGGAGAGCCACACAAGTGATGGTCAGTGCTGAGATAAATGGGGTGGAGGTTTGCCTGGATGCAGTCTTGTCTCCTATGTTGTCCTTGGAACTGCCCCGTGGTAAGGGTGATTGTGTCTTTGAAATATGTTCCCTTGCCACAATTGTTACTGTTCAATTCTTCTGCTATACTCCTTGACTGAATGGTGGTACATAGAATGAGAAAGACAGTTTATTTCTCTTGAGTTTTATACAGCGTTATGAGGTCTGCCCTGAAGATTGACAGTTTGTTTTAGCCAGAACCCTGAGGACCCACAGTAGCAGAGGATCAGTCTGCATTAGATACTGCAGTCCCATTAGCCTAGCAGCTGGTGCTCTGTTAGAAAAGTTGCTGCCTATCAGGGAATTAGTAGTTTTTAAAGATGGTTGGACAGTGCAGTGAGCTGCATATGCTAGGACTGGAGTGCATCTCACCTGACCAGTACAGTACATTAGGGTCTCTGGCATGCTCTGTTGTATGCTTTGGGCTATTTTGGACCCTTGCCATGTCTGGATTCTTGTTTTTTTGGGGGTAGTACTTAACCTGCTTTATCTTGGAATGTCTGTCCTTCTCCATAGAACTTTTTAGAACATAGGGACTTTTTTACTTCTTAAATCACACTTTTGAATTCATGCCTCAGATTGTTTTTTCTGTGGTGGTCTTCTGCTTGAACTAAGATTGGGGTTGTTGTCTCATAGGCTGTGAGTGAGGTGAGGGACACTTATCTTACAACCACTGGTCCTTCTGGCTTGTTTTGCTTCCAGGAGTAAGTTGAGTACTATCTGTATGGATCATTGTATTCTCTCAGAGCTGTGTATGCAAACACAACTAGTTAGTTCTACCTGTTGAACTAAAAACTGGTACTGCCAGTTTTTTATTAGTCTTTCCCATAGGTTTTAGCTACCTTATTAAAAGTGGCTGACTTGTTTTGCTCGATAGGAAAGATTTTTGCTGGGGACACATAAACATGCTGTGAGTATGTAGTCTTCCAGTAGGCTCTTGTAGTTGGTTTTTAGAGAAACAAAGCCAACTGTTTCTCTACCTCCTGACCGAGCAATTCCCCTGCTAACTTGTCTATATCATATGTGTCATGAATTCACCAGGCTGGCTGAGGTTGATTACAGTCACTTGGTACAGTCCTGGTCCACTTTGCCTCTAAAATACTTAATCCCTTGTGGCATTGTTATCTGGTCAGTTATTATCACCCTCTCTACCCCCCACCCCCAAATGTTCTTTTACTCAACTTAAAAACAAAGCAAAACAGCTACGAAGACAACAACAAAAACTTCTGATAATTCCTGATCATGCTTTTGTAAACTCATGAGTTTTACTAGGAGGATATCAAAACACTGGACTACTCTGTTGCTTGTTGTTTCTCTTGGCTTCATTCATCTTGTCTATTTCTGATAAGTCGCAGAAACCTTGGCACTGAATTGTTTCTTTTTTCCTCATCTACTTTCCAGTTTTTCATTAAATGTAACTCTGAACTCTGTAGTAAAGACCTTGTTTTGCTGACACATCTCATGACTCATAACATGAGAACAGTTGGGACATTTGTATCTAGCCCTCTTCTATCTGTCATCAAAGGTAAACTTCTAAACTCTGTCCAGCTGGACAGAGTTTCAGACTTGTATGCTGACCATGCCCATTTTGCTTTATTAAGTGTATATTCTGTCTACATTTTGGTGTTTCAAATAGGAACCCCATTTGTGTGTCCAGGTCCCTGAGAAACACACAGCTCTAACTTGATTTCTTGTGGAATCAATTCTCCGGCTTCCTGAGTCTTTAATTGCTCCAGATCTTGATCTCCCTTTATTCCTGGTTTTAATAAACCTTGCTTCATTTTAGTAAATCTCAAGACTAGTCAGCTTCCTTGATTTCACATTGAAATTGGCCTTTTTGATAAAAAAGAAACCTTTTTTTTAAACTTCTTCTTAGACTTGTTTGTAGGTCTCTCTGCTATGCACTGTCTGGTTATCCTGGATCTTACTGTGTAGACCATGCATATAGATCGATCACAGAGATCTACCTGCCTCTGCCTCCTGAGCATTGGGATTAATGACCATGCCTGACTAACCTGTAGTTTCCTTTATCCCCTTTAGTTTTCTTTCCCTAAAAGCTCTCTTTAAAAGTGTTATATTGAACTAGAGAGTTGGTCAGCGGTTAAGACTGCTCTTCCAGAGGACCCAGATTCGATTTCCAGCACCCACGTGGCAGCTCATAACTGTCTGTAACTCCACACACAGAGACATACTATGTAGGCAAAACAGCAGTGCACATAAAATAAAAATAAAGAGATTATTTTAAAAAGTAGTGTCTTGGGAGGTTGCACTGTAAGTTCCTGCATCATTAGTGAAGTTTCATGAACTCTGTTGGCCAGCCATCCTCTTAAAATACAGGTGAGTACCTGGAAGCCTTCCCTGTGTGATCCAGGCTGGCTTGAATGCTGGAGGTCTGAGCCACCATGCCTGGACTGTATTTTTATTTATTTAAAATTGTTAATTTATTTTGTATATGTGGGTGTTTTGTTTCTGTGTATTCCTGAACTATGTGTATGCCTGGTGCCAAGGAGCCCAGAATAGGGCATTGGACTCCTGGGAACTGCAGTTACAGTTTTGAGCCACCATAAGGATGCTAGGCACTCTGGTTTTATGTAAGGGCAGTAAGTACTCTTAATGTCTGAGCCATTTCTCCAGGCCTGACCTTGAACTCTTGAGCCATTAGAATGCCCCCATATCTCCAGTGCTGGAATTATAGGTATGTACTACTCTGCCCAGCTTGACTTCTAAAGTTTGTTGTTTATCCATATGTAAGACTATGTGGTAAAAAGACGACTCTTCTCCAGATCCTACTAATTGTGCATTTTAGTGTTTTGTTGTAAGAAGGCATAGGTGGCTTTGGCTAAAGATATTTCCACTTTTGACTCAAGGTAAGTTAGCTGTTTTGTTTTCTTTGTTCTTTTTAAATAGGGTTACACATCATTTTGGAATGACTGTATATCATCTGGATTACGTGGCTGTATGTTAATTGAATTAGCTTTGAGAGGAAGGTTACAGTTAGAGGCTTGTGGAATGAGAAGAAAAAGTCTTTTAACAAGAAAGGTAAGAGGACTTCTAGATAATACCCTCTTTACAAGAATTGTTTTCTGTTTAAATGATGAATATTTCTAATAGCTTTATAATATTTAAATAGTTTAAAATTGTCCTTATTGGATTGCATTCTTGTTTTTTTGTTTTTTTGTTTTGCATATGCACCATGATACTACTCACTGTTAGGATTGACCACTGTGCCTTAGAGAGATACCCAGTTTTACTTGTTTCCGAAAAAGTTTTAAGTCTGAAGACCTTGATATGACTTTAAAAAAATCTGAGAGTTTTGTGGAACTGAATTCCTTGGGACATTAATATTTTTGGAAAACTGTGATTGATTTTTATGCCTCTTGTCATGGTGAAGGTGTAGATAGGTACTTCTGTGATAGAACAGAATATATATGCTAGCTTTTGGATTTTTAACTTCAGACTCAATCAGATATTTACAATTGTTTCTCTTCTTTGGACACAGTATTTCAAAACCATTTTTTCTTCTCTAGTTGTATTATATTTGTAAATCTAAAAGATAGGCCAGAACCAAATGTCTTGTTTTTATTTTTTATGTTGTTTTGTTTGTTTGAAGACAGCCTTCACTTTTTAACCAAGGCTGACCTGGAACTCACTAGCACATGTTGCTCTTGATCTAGAGATCCTCCCACTGGCACCCCCAGAACTCTAAAATGACAAGCCTATTGCCTCGTTCCTTACTCTGAACACCGGACTGGTGAAACCAGAGTGATCATTGTATAAGAAGGGACGCCATTAATGTGTTAATGAAAAGAAGTAATGCAGGAAATAATATAACTTCTAAATAGTAGAAGTTGCTGGGTTTTGTTCGGAAAAAACTTGTTTCCTATCCATATGGGTTTATTAAGTCATTCTGGTTCTTAGTGACATAGATAATATTGGAAGAATATATGATTTAATTAATAAGTTTAAAAAGTAATTGTTGATTCAACTAAGATAATCCATATAGTTAGAAGACCAAATGTAGCTGTTTTCCTTCTTCTTTACTTCTCTTCATGGAAGCCAACCATCGTAGGGTTTAGGGATTTTTGGAGATAATTTCTATGTAGTCCCATCTGACTTGGAGCTTGATAAGTATATTGTGCTGACCTCTAACTCACAGAGATCCTCCTGAGTGCTGTGATTAAAGGTGTGCACCACCACTTCTGGCTGTCTTTGACCACAGCCTTAGCCTTAGTTTTCTTGTTTGGAGGCCAGTTAGGAGATGTACTCATGTTGTTTTCTCGAAGGCTCTAAGGAAGAGCCTGTCAGCAGCCTCTCAGCTTTTGGCTATTTTATTCTTGCTCCTTCGCATCTGTCCACATCTGTCTACATGTCTAATGGCCTTCCTCATATCACATCACTTCTGCATAACTGACCTTGGGCCTCATAAAAGATTGCAGTTTCCACAGCGTTTCTTGTTTTATGAATCAAATGTTTTCTGTTAAATTCCCGAGGCCTTTTTGAAATTCTTTTATCTATATAATGCAATTCCTTGGAGGTCTTGTTTTATCTTCTTCCCATCTCTTCTGTGTTGCAGGTAGCAAGAATTTATTGAAGCATAGCATATTTATTTAGAAGCCACACATATTCTTGAAATTTTTAAAGGAATTAGAACTTGTTTGAATCTTTGATTAGTTTTGAGCAGGAACACTGAAATGTAGTAAGATTTGGCTCCTGGAGAGCTCAGTGCGCAGCTAGGACTGAAAGGGGACCAGTGTTGAACTCAAGCACTTAGAGACTCGCAGCACCTCTGCATACTGTAGGAAGTGAAGCCAGCCAGCACCCCAGTGTGGAAAGCAGAGGCCTCATGAGGCTCCATCCCTAGCTGAGGAACAACTGATGGCTGCTGGGGGAGGTTGGGTATGTGTGGCCACTGGTTGGCTGCCTGCACTCTGATGGGTGTTCTCACAAGGCAATACTAGGGAGAGGCAGTGGGTTATTAAGTGTGTGTGTGTGGGGGGGAGGTGAACAGAGAACTGTCAGGGAGAAGGGAATATGGAGAATTTGGGTTGGCTATAAACAAGTTACATTGTATCTATACTATAAAATTATCAAATAATAAATGAGAGCATTCCTAAAACATTAAAAAAGTGCAAGGCCTCTAGTCAGGAGACCGATTATTACAAGAGAAAAATGGTCAGACTTGTAGACTAAAACCCTGGCAAGGATAATGGAGGAAATGACAGGTGAGAAAGGCTTAGAGCAGAGCTTGGGTGCAGTCAAGGTGCATGAGGGAGGTGGATGATGAGGTCACATGGGGAGCGAGAGGGAGGCAGGAGGTGGAAGAGGCAGGTCACATGGTGACATCACAGACACACAGGATTCATTTTTTCTGTAGATCTTTTTCTTCCCCATAAACCCTGGTCTAACTAATCACCATGGGAAGAATGTTCTGAATGATGTTTCTGAATCTGTACTGTCCAGTATAGTAACCATGCCACTTTTATAAATTAAGCTGTCCTATAAAACACCTTGGGTTTTTAAAAACAGTATTGGTAAGAATTGAAAAGGGCAGTCATGAGCTAGTGAGTGTATGCTAGGAACAAACCTGACTCCTGGGAGAGCAGCCAGCATGTCTCACTCCTCTTGAGCTTTCTCTGTAAATATGGGTTTTAATTACAGATTTAGTCTGTCCTTGCCTCCCCACCCCCAACCCCTGGATCTCTGATCCTCCTGGTGCTGGAGATTGAGTGATTTTACATAATCAAGCCTGTTGATGGTTTCATTGAGGCTTCTGCTAGCAGTGGCAGTTTAAAAGTCTTTGTTGTTCCTAAAACTATATTTCCCCTTCATATCTTTTACTGAGCATAAGCTTGAGAGAGCTAGTTCTAGACAGGGTTTCTCTGTGTAGGCCTGGTTATCCTGGAACTCACTCTATAGACCAGGCTGTAGATCTGCCTGCCTCTGCCTTCCCAGTGCTGGGACTAAAGGTATGCACTACCATGCCTGACTCAGGGTGAGCTATTTCTTTTTTCTTTTCTTTTGCTTTAATTTGTTAAAGTTTTCTTAATAACATTTATTGAGAAAATTAGTTTTTTTTTCTTATGTGAAATGCCTTTATTATATTGAATTCTCTCATATATATAGTGGGTCTTTCTTTGTCCAAGACTTTAAAAATGAATGAATTTCTATATTAAATAGCTCAAGATTAAGGATCAGATGAAATTATATAAGTGTACAGTCTCTGAGCATGAGGTGTTTGTGTACTTACTTGTTTTTCATGTAGTGGTACAGGAAGAATGTGCCAGTGGATCATTTCTGACCAATTGTGTTTCAGGTGATCTGTAAATCGGATGCTCCAACAGGGGATGTTCTTCTTGATGAAGCCCTAAAGCATGTTAAGGAGACTCAGCCTCCAGAGACAGTCCAGAACTGGATTGAGTTACTTAGTGGTAAGCTGATGTGTTAAAAAGTATAGTTACTTATGGAAGCGTGGTGGTGGGGCACATGATAATGTTTTTAAAAGTTTATCTCCATTACATGAGAGAGCAGATACTGAATAGAATGGATATTCCTTCCCCCCCCCCCCCCCCCCCCGGACAGGGGTTCTCTGTATAGCCCTGGCTGTCCTGGAACTCACTCTG